TCGGCAAAATGGAAAGAAACAATTCGCGTTTTTTAATTTTCTTCAGTATTATGGTTAACACTATCCCACCAACGAGTCAAACTAATACAGAGTGCCCAGCAGTAGGGTATATCGGTGTTGATTTCGAAATGACCCAGACTTCCGACAACTATAGATGAAGTCACAGATGCTACCAATCTATTGCAGGGGGTTTGTCATGAAAAATATGCCATATAGCAGTAATAGAGGGGTTGTACTCATTACGCAGTGCGTTAAAGCAAGCTTAACATTGAAAAGCCGGAAATCTGCTACCAGTGTGTAGTGTATGTTTGCTGTTTTGGCCATAAAAGGAAGCCGAAGGGTCATGATCAGGGAGTAAAAAGGTAATTAACTGTTATTAAGCTCACTTTTTATAGATCATATTTCACCACTCGCACATTTGTGTTTTTTTACGGTATGATCTCAGCTGGTACCTAATGTGTTCACCCTTACGATGAAAAGTACCTGCAAATTTTCACCTTCATATTCCAATTATTTTTGGACAACTCTCTTACAGTCTGAGTGCTTCGTACGCCCCGAGAAACTCTATTTCTACAACATTCGTAGTTCCAGTATAACTTTCTCACGCAGTAAGTTCAAGGTAGACACTAGTCTTTCTAAATGAGCCTGTTAAGCTAATATCCGTATTCTCTATTTCAGTTAGTCGATGAAGACATGTACCACGTGCATCTGCTGTATACTGCCATTTTACTCCAATTCTAACTGTTATATCTTACTTCTGAAAAATAAAATTGCTATATGCAGCAAATACAGACTTATTTGTTTTGATGAAGGTAAAGGGATTCATGGGATTTTCAGTAGGACCGTATTAATATTCTCACTAAAGAGCTAAGCGAGTGCGTAAACCAGTGTAAGGTACCATACGGGGTGCATTTTAGGTACTAGTGTTACATTAGTGCGGGTAGGGGCATTGCTTGCTTGTCATATGGCATTTGAATTAGAAGCTATAAGATAAGACGCAGGTACGGTTAGGATGTGTAACTCGTGTCCATCCATCAGCTGCCGTGACAACCCATGGTGGTTAAAATAAGTTATGAGAGGACCCGAGTATGTAAGTCTCGCAAGAAAATGACGAAGATATGCACCAAATCGCCTTATGAAAAGCGCCCCCAATCACTTAACCTCTACTCATCAGAGTACAGACGTCTTAGAGGTGACCTAATGGCTTACAATAACCTTAACACTTCTGGACATCCCCTAAAACACCTACTTAAGCTTAGTCCCAGAAACTAGCGACACAACATAGCAGAACGGACTGTAGACGCAACTTCTACTCCTTAGTCGTCAAATGCTGGAATCCGCTGCCCGCCGAGCTAGTCCAAGAGACTTCCCAGGAGTCCTTTAGGAGGCAAGTGGATCTATTCTTAAGGATAGTACCATACTATGATTTACCATTTTCTCTTTCCTCTTTTATTGTTAACATACCTAGGTTCCTGCCTGGAGGTTTTGGTGACCCCCTGCTACTAGACACGGAAGCCTGTTAAGCGAAAGCTTCTTCTATTCAGTCCACAACCATTTGAACACATGAACTAGGTGCTGAGAGGCTCGCTTATCACAAGTTTCTTGCAACGATTAAGTAGATAAAACAAAGTAGCATTAGATCCAAAAATTTATTCAAGAACTTTCATTAAGAATCGAATATCAAACAAAAGTTTGAACCAAGTTCCCGTTAAAAAGTTGTGTTGGTAATGTTAAGCTGCAGTTTTTGTTTTTTTCCAAACGAAAGATTAAAAGAAGTCAAAAAATACTGGAAGTGGTTGTGAGACTAAAATGGAAGTCCAGCATCCTTTTTATAATCTGCTGTTCGTTGGGTCTCCCGTAAACAGTTCCATAGTTCCAAGGGCGAAACAGTTTTTAGGATCTGTGAAGGCTCACTCCTGTTGCATTCTTAATGGAAGAAATAGTGATGAATTTAGTCAGAAATGTGGAATAGATAAATAACCAAATTACACGTTTTTTAGCAAAGAATTTATGCAGTTGTGATTTACCTTGAGTTCATGAATATTAGATTAGGTCAGTTACTATTACTTGCGCAAAGCATAACATGGGCTTAGTACCGTATCTCAATGCTTTTATTATTTTGCTCCCATTTAAGTATTCCCATGCATCTGCGTCTAGTTTAACAGGAAAACATACAAGCAGAGTAATTGTCTGATAAACTAAAAGTCTCAGTTGTCAAAAAGATTTTTAACATTTGTCCACAGCCAGCTGCATTTAATTGAGACACAGAACACTCATCTTCTAAGACTATCAGTTTCAGTTTCAGTTTGGGAGGGACAGGAGGCTCGATGGCCTATGTTAGTCCTGGCAATGGTGGTCTCTCAGTTGATCCAACTTTCTTTTGAAAGAGTCGACGGATGGAGCCTCAACCACGTGCTGAGGTAGTGAATTCCACTCGTTGATGATTCGATGGGAAAGTCGGTGGTCAGCTGACAAGTAATTTGTTCTCGGCTTATGAACTTTTTTGGAGTGTCCTCGTAAATTCTCTGTTTTGGAAGACAAGAAAAATGAGGGCATACCAGGTGCAAATTTATCACTAAGCAATTTGAAAACTGTAATCAAGTCGCCTCTAGTTCTGCGATAAGACAACGGGAAAAGGTTCAGCTTGGCCAGTCGAGATTCATACGGAAGCTTCGCTATTCCGGGAATCAGCTTAGTCGCCGTTCTCTGAACCTTTTCCAGAAGCTCACTGTCTTTTTTAAAGCAGGGGCTAGCCGCTTGTATGCAGTACTCAAGTTTAGGACGAACGAACACTGTATACAAAGTCAAAAACGTCTTAGCGTCGACATGACTAAAAGCCCTACGTATTGACCATAACGTTCTAAAACTTTTGGCGGCTATTGCACGGCAGTGTGCAGTAGTCTTTAAGTCTTGACTAACGATAACTCCTAAGTCATTATATGTCTGGACGACAGGTAGCTCAGTGTTATTCATCGTGTATGTATCTGTGCCTTGATGACCGATATGCATCACAACACACTTGGAAGCATTTATCGGCAACTGCCATGTTTGAGACCATTCAGATAACTTCTTCAGGTCATTTTGAAGTTCTAAGCTATCACTCTTACATCGTATCGTTTTCCATATCTTGACATCGTCAGCATATAGCAAGACCGATGATGATAGGAGACAAGGAAGGTCATTTACATACAAGAGGAATAGCACTGGCCCCAAAACTGTACCCTGGGGCACTCCACTAAGCACAGTTTCCCAGCTAGATAACTTTGAGTTCACCCGAACTCTTTGTTGACGCCCAACTAAGAAGTCTTTTATCCACATCAATAAATTGCCTCCAATCCCGACTTTTCTTAACTTATATAACAGCCGGTTGTGCGGAACTTTATAAAAAGCTTTACTGAAATCAATGAAGGCGACGTCTACAGGTAGCTTTTGGTCCTTAAGAGCGCACCAGCTTTCACGAGCCACTAATAAGTTAGTGAGACAAGAGTAACCTATTCTGAAGCCGTGCTGCTTCTCCGAGAGGATCCGGTTTTTATCGAGATACTTAAACAACTCCTTCCGAATAATCTTTTCTAAGGTTTTAACAACCACACTAGTTAGGCTAACGGGGCGGTAGTTCTCAGGTTTGTGTTTCGTACCTGTTTTGAAGACAGGACTTACTATGGCGTTTTTCCAGTCTTTTGGTAACGACCCTGCGTAACGAATAGGTTAAAGCATGTACTTAAAGGGCTTGCAACGAAGTTAGATAATTCCTTCAGTAGCCTAGGATGTAGTTCATCGGGCCCCGTGGATTTACCTATGTCAAACTTATTTAGCAGACCAAAGACATCGAGTTCTTTAATGGTCACGCTATCCAGTGTATGTATGGGGGGATCTGTATACGCTGACGGGAAGGGCGCTTCTATGGTATATACGTTGCTAAAGTAGTTCGAGAACACTTGAGCCTTACCAAAGTCGTCCTCCACTAATGATGAAGCAGTACTGTCTCCCCATAGAGCAGGAATATTTCCTCTTCTCTTTGTCCTTTGGTTTATATAAGAATACAAGCGTTTAGGACATTCTACGGAGTTCTTAACAATCTTTTCTTCGTACAACTTTCTAGACTTACGGAGGGTCGAGGCACTAGTATTCCGAGCCTTTCGATACTGAGATTTTGACTCATCAGTCCCCAGTAATCTAAATCTATCCCACATTTTCCTTTTCTTACGGAGAAGGATACGGACCTCCCTACTGAGCCATAGCGGTGAGTTTTTCGGCCCGTTTGGTATAGTCCAAGGGATGTGAGGTGTGGTAACTTTTAAGTATGAATTTCGAAATGCGTCCCAGGCCGTTTCAATGGAGGACTCTGGGTCTATTGTCCAATCTATTAACGATGCTGAATGCATGATGTCTGGTATGTTTGCTTTCCAGACGTTGGGTCTGGACCGGACTGACGCGTATCCGACGGCGAGCCACGAAATCAGTTCGAGGACTCAAACCTAAACCTTACGAAGAACGCCTCCATTCACTAGACCTTTACCCATTAGAGTATAGGCGTCTTAGAGGTGATTTATTAATGGCTTATAGTATTCTTAACACTTCTGAACATCCTCTTAAACACCTACTTAAGCTTAGTTCGAATAATAACCTAAGGGGTAACACCCAGAAACTGGAAACACAACATAGCAAGACGGAATGTAGACACAACTTCTACTCCTTAAGAGTTGTCAAAAGCTGGAATTCGCTGCCCGTCGAGCTAGTCCAAGCGACTTCTCAGGAGTCCTTCAAGAGGCAACTTGACCTATTCTTAAGGACCAAGGACAGCATCACACTATGATTTACCAATTTCTTTTCCTCTTTTATTGTTAACATTCCTAGGTTCCTGCCTGGAGGATTTGGTGATCCCCTGCTATTAGACACGGAAGCCTGTTAAGCTTCTTCTATTCCGTCCACAACCATTTGAACCGTTTGAACCATTTGAATCATTAGTTCCCCTCGTAGATTGTTATTTAGTGCTACTAGCTTTCTCAAGGACGTTGTCACTATGCAATCGCACGTGCAATTCACTTGGGTCGTATTTCTGTCATAATTCGGTTAGTAGAGGTTGTTTTATTATAAGACATACTAATTGGTTATATTCTGCTTTAATTTCACGATTTATGATGTTACCTGTCTCACTTAACGTTCAACGTTATTTAAATAACTTGAGGATTAGGAAATATCACAGCCCCCACATAGATCAAATAACAGTTACTACTGGGAATATTATTCATTAGGGTTCTCAAAGTCATGTCCTGTCAACCTCAGGATTGCTTATAAAAATACTTATCTCGGTAGCGCTACAAGTACTTTGTCTATTTATGAATAATCTGAGTTTTTGCAAAGGTGAATAATGTTGAGAGAAAGTTTCAAACTTCCTTTTTTTATTGATGCTGCCGAATTCTTTGCCTATAGAATTGCCACCACGCAATAAGGCGTAGTTTGTAAAGTTAGTAGCTGTCGGAAACGTATACAGTCAGGTTCTTAATGGTGTTTTTTTTATGTGACTTCCTGACGACATTTTACTAGCCGTTTATTATTTATATTTCCTTGGTATTCATTCTGTGTATTTTTCTGGACTGGTTTCGGTATTCCTTCATAGCTAATCTGAAACGAGGAGAGCAGCTGGCCCAGATGGATTAACGCCAGAGGTTTTTAAGGATGGTAGTCCAGTTTTAGCGATTAGGTTGATCAATATCTTAGCCAAAATCTGGGAACTAAATGTAATTCCATCTGACTGATCTCAATCACCGCCTTTCGCATTATATAAGGAGTCAAAATCACCCCATGATAACCATAGAGAGACCAGTTTGACTAATATAGCATCTAAAATACTAGCCTCAATAATTATCGGACGCCTAACTAAGACTCGTGAACTGCAAACATGAGAAAATCAGGCTGACTTCAGACCTGGTCGTGGTTGCATCAACCACATATCCACCATTCGTCAGATTCTGGAACACAGGCATGCTTATCGGCGTCCGACGATGATGGTTTTTCTTGACTTAAAAGCAGTATTTGACTCTGTAGATCGAGGGGTTCTGTGGCAGTATCTCAGAAGTACATAAGCCTTGTAAGGACTCTTTACTCGAACACTGTCAGTCGAGTCAGAGCTTATGGTGAACTGTCATCTGATTTTGCAACCTCAAGTGGTGTCCATCAAGGCTGTTCACTATCTCCATTTCTGTTTGATTTCACCATAGACCTACTGCTGGAAATAACGTTCTTGTCGACTGAATTTTCAGAAATTGATCTACCAGGAGGTCCACATATCGACTTAGAATATGCAGATGACATAGTCCTGTTTGATAAAGACACTGATAAAATGCAGAATTTTTTTTGGTAGCACTGAGCAACAATGCCACGATGTTTGAGATGCGTTTCTCCCCCCTCAAATGCAAGTTGTCGTTTCAAGACTGGCCTGCGTCAACACCTAAACTAATGATAGGGAGTGAAGTAGTCGAACGCGTTGACAACTTCACTTATCTTGGAAGTTGATCAGCCCAAACGGGTTGGTGTCTGACGAAATCTCAGCGCGGATTCAAAAAGCTCGTTTGGTTTTAACCAACTTACGTCACCCGTGGCGAAGGCGAGATATCCGTCTATCAATTAAGGGACGAGTGTACTGCGCGGCAGTTCGTTCTGTTCTGCTTTACGTCAGCGAAACGTGGCCATTAAGAGTAGAAGATACTGTAAGCTATTAGTATTTGACCACAGATGCCTTAGAAATATTGCTGGCGTCTGCTGGGATCACCGGGTAAGTAATAGTGAGGTTAGACGCAGGGTATTAGGGGATGATGGTAAATCAATTGATGAGGTTGTGAATCTTCATCGACTGAGATGGTTGGGCCACGTGTTACGTATGCCTGAACACCGATTACCACGACGTGCAATGCTATCCGGTGTTTGAGGTAGTTGGAAGAAAGTTAGGGGCGGCCAAACCAAAACGTGGCATCAGTGCTTGAAGTCACTAACTTGTAGTCTGAGCCATGTTGGTAGATGCAGACTACTTGGTTGGGGTCCACGTGACTATCGTAACCAATGGTTGGAGACTCTTGGTGACATGGCTCAGAATCGATCACAATGGCGTCGGTGTATACACTCCCTGTCTTCTCTTAAACTAAGAGATTAAAATTGCTTCATATCTTTGTTTCTACGAACTAATTCTTTCTTCCTGTACTATATCCTTATATGCAATCTTTCTTTTATATATTACCACCTCTGAATTAACTACTTTTCTGAATCCGGTGTTCATCTTGTTGTGTTAATGAGGTGTGGCAACTTGGACCGATGCATATATATGCCTGGTGCTACGTTATAGCTGACTGACTCACTTCATAACTATGCTTGGCAGACTACTGGCACGTATTTTTAAAATTCTCTTATCAAAAGATGAGAATACCGTAGTTTTATCTGGTTAAAAAATTCTCGGTCCATGAGCCTAGGTTTTTATCAACCCTGATGCCTAACTTTGACAGTTACCCAGCTAGTAATTTGTAGCTTATGAACCTTTATCGGCCCACATCTTTTAATGAGTAAGTTTTGGTCCAAATTTTATTATGGCAATTTGAAAGACATAAAAAGAATTAATTTCGAATTATACTTTCTAATTAGTATGTGCATCATACGTTTTGTTGCTGTTCGTGTAGTTTCTCTAGTTTAGGTAATTTTTCACTACTATAACACATCCTCCACTAGTCGGTTTACATTTATTAAATTCTAGAAAACTCTTACATATGGACGACGATGAACTTACTCAAGAGATTTTGGACCAGTTCGATCTCATTTGTACACAACATCAATATGATCATGGTAAGTAAGGTATTACTAAGTGGGTCATATACATTTAGTGTCAGCATACAGTGGGGAACATTTAAATAAACACAGTATACATTCAAACAGTAAGTTCATTCCATCTGTTCTACATCGTTTCAAAATCTAGAGCTATCTAATTGCTTATCTCGGTCAACTTCGTTAGATACAAAGTTGGGAGGGTGCGCGCAGACATCTGACTTCCCACCTAATGATCAAACTCCAACTGTTGGACGAAATGAACTTGAACGGCTAAAAAAAGAAGTAAGTTTCGTGTTTTGATCAAACAAAACCACTTGCAAGAAAATGATCTAACTGTGGTACTTAGATGTCTTATCTAACTTCTAATTGTTCTTCCGAATGTGATTTAGTGTTCTACAGAAATTCATAACATTCGATGTTAGAGTGCTTATGGTGACTAATGGTTCTGTGACACATATCCTTAGTTACATTTCATGTTTTCAAATTATGAGGTAAAGTTGTTGTCAAATTTATTTCCTATCAAACTAGGAGGTATTATATTTTTATCATGGTAGTTATCATTTATTGAATAACGTAATTGACTGTCGTAAAACGCTTTGTATTTAAAAGTAATTATTTGCATGATGCGTGTAAAGTGAATATATTCTTAGTGGTTGAAACTCATCTTCCTTCATGTTACCTGAGTGTTAAGTATAACTGCAGGTATTTTAACATAAAAAATATAACCATTTAGTCAGTTGATAGTATTTGTGAATTTCAAACGTCTAGAAAATTGTGGCTTTCTCTAGTGTGAATACAGTTCATGAAACACATGCAGATGCCGTAATCAATTGAACAAGATGTTCTAAACAGTTGTATAACCATTAATAAACATCAGGTTTGACAAACTGTTAGTCCTAATTTACACTAAAACCTGTCCTACTTGTGTTTTTAATCATGCACTTGGGTTTGACCGGTATATTTAGTTAAGCTATTGTATCTTAAAATAGTAACAAACAACTTCAAAGATTACGTAAATATTGTATTAGCTGTTGTCAGTGTGTACGTAAGTATTATTTGTATATATCATTTATTTATTTCCGGTCAGTTTTCTTGTCGAATTCTTTTTAGGTATCTGTTCTACGTGAAGAGCTTTATATGAAACTAGGTGAACTTGCTACCATTAAAGAATCTGCCAGTCGAACAAAAGCAACCGATTCTGATACTATCAGTAAATTAGAATCACATCTTAAATCTGAACGAAATGACTTCCAACGTAAACTAAGTGAATTAAATGCTCAAATAGCCTTTCGTGAAGCTGACTATCGATTAGTATGCAGTGAACTAGCTCGTATAAAAGAAGAAGTTGCATCTAGTAAACAAGTGGTGAACGGTGAGTATTAAAGATTCAATTACAACTAATAAATAATTAATTGTTTCCTTGGCACTTTATTTTTTCATCTTATCTTTCAGACCAGTAGAAAATTATTGATCAGTCAGTTATAAGCAATGTAGAACCTGACATATTTATGTATACGCTATAGTTGGCACACCATTTCACTGCGGCCAGATGAATTTTTGAGACATATGCCGGAGTAGTAATACTAGCAACAGTACCAGTTGTTGTAAAAGTGATTGTTCATAGACAGTACGATTTAGAAGGAAGAATCAAACTCTCAGGATAAGAGGTATAAGGTAATTTTAAAACTCAAAGGCTAAGGGGGAGATAAGAAGTGAGTATATCTGTCTCATTGTGACAGTACTTTGATGTGATGATTAAAAAAACTGATACTTACTGACATAATTGATTTTTACCATAAACAACGTTAGTCTTACAATTTAATCTGATGGTCAACTTTTTATTTAAAACATCACTTTTCTCTCAAATTGAATTATTCTGAAAACTAAGCATCAGTTAATATAGCTTTAAATGAAGTTGTCTTATCATTCAGTAACATTTAAAGATACTGACAAAAAAATATCATGTTAGCGCTATGAGACGAAGTCGACAACGTGAAAAGCAATGAAGTGAAAAATAGTATTATCAACGGTAGTTGAGGTCTAAACATTTGAATTATGGTTCTAAATAACATATGAAACCAAAGTAATGGAAACCTACTATATAACCAACCATCAATGCTATTAGTTACAGCAATAACAGGTATTTTCCTTTGACCTTTCAAAAATAACTATCCGCATTCACTAAAACTTTATTCGTAAACGTTGATATAAATTCATCGACTAGACGGTTTCTTCAACTTTTCGTTTATTTAATTTAGTAGGTTTATATAATACTCTAAATTCTGTAACTGTTCATCTTTGCTAACTGTTATTTATATTTCAGAACGCTCTGTTGAATATTCTCCTGCTTCACAAATTCTTGTCTCCCTAACTTCCCCAAATCCTGATCATGTTTCTAACCAAAAATTACGAACACCTGTCCCTCGTGTTCCAAGCACAGATTTTCACCTTCCTGCACCAGTTACTCCTATTCCTAGTAAACGGTATAAAGTTCCAGTCAGTGGTCGAATGTGGGATGTTAATGTCACGAGCAATTTAGATGATAAACCAAAGTCAAATACAACACCGCAAGCTATTGATAAAAATGTCTTGATAGATAGTGATGAAATTACACCGTCAAATGCATCGAGAAAACGACAACGATGTATTGTGTCACCTGATACTTCTCCAGAATACTGTGTGCGCCAAATTCCTGTGTCCTTAGCTGATGCATCTGTTGAAACTACAGACCTACTACATACTACCTCTCATAGTCATCCCTTGTCTTATCGAATTCCATCCTGTGCTTTTTCAACCACTGAGCCTTTCAGTGAATTTACTAAAGGAAATCCTGAAATGTTATCAGAATTATTAGATTTGTCTATTTCGATTCCTCAGAATGAAAAGAGCAGGTCAGATTATATTATTATTATTATTATTATTATTATTATTATTATTATTATTATTATTATTATTATTATTACTGATTTATTTTAGTTGTCATAAACACCTTGAACTATTCATTTTTCTCTAAGAAATCAACAACCGTGCTTTACGACTTTACAAGGCTCGAGTACAAAATATCATGTAGACTACTTTTGCAAATTTACAGTCAACTAATTTATTTCCTAATACTCAATTGTTAATCATTTACTAAGTACAGCTTTACGAACTAGCCTTGAAACCCTACTATTAGTGTGTGTGTGTGTGAGCCATTGGTAATATACGACTTTCCATTTGAAGTAGATTAAATGAGATTCGGATCAGCGATCTATTTTTGAAAACAAAGCGTTTTAACCACTAAGTCACCGCTCCTAAAATAACTGTGATATTAATAGGGTTTCTGTTCAATAACTACTTAATCAGTGTTGCAAATTATGTTTTCATATTGAATCGTGGATGATTATCAGGTAATAGAGTCAATTTTTGAGTTAAAAACTGAACAAGGTCACACTTAGTTCACATGTTGACTTGGGAATCATCGATCACGAAATTGTCAGACAGTTTCTTACTGGTACATCCTTCATGGATAACTTACATATACCTACACACAACTAAAAAGCTAAGCTGTATAAATACCTAAATGGTCAACTCTGTTATTCCCTAAAACTAAGACCATGTTGTATAGCACGGTGAGAGATATTACAAATAGGTTCACTTGGATGTTTGCTGAACCTATTTTTGATTAACTATTCGTAAATAGGAATATAGACTAATATACATGTTTTTTCTTCTTCAGGAGTAGCATCGATATTAATCCCCAAACAACATTGGTCACATCATCTTTTTCAGTTTCAGAAGATTCCACTTGGTTATTATCAGATTATTATCTCACAGGGTTAAGTAAATTACTTCCACGACAGTCAGATATTCTTAGTGGAATCCAGTCATCATCTGACAACTATGTATCACGACTAAATGTAGTGGTTAAACGATTCTCTGAATCTGTACCCTACTTAATACGAAGAATAGAAGAGCAGTTAAAAGTACGTTGACACTAACATTTTTCTATTCAACTATCCATTCATGTTGATGATTTGTGTAGTAAATGTCATTTCGAAGAATGACATTAAAAAAAAGAAAATTATGCAATAACCAAATAGTTACTTATCAGTAATATAATTAGATTACGTTGGATAGATGCAACATTGGATCCTAATGTTTATTTCTTCAGTAATACTTGAATTCAATACCAGTTGTTTTCAATGCCAGAACGTTGTCCACTGGAATACTGTTTCATTTTCATAAGGTTATTATTTAGGATTATCGATTGATGTATGATTCTTTCACCAATATTTCTTTTCGAATCAATTAACTTCAGTATCTCATGCTTACTTGTTTGCGCTTACACCTCATTCGCTCGATAATACTAATACAAAATGTTTATGTATCATAATACTATTAAATTTATTCATTTGACCCCACCTAGCATATAGAATTTATAGAGAAATTAAGATTAATACTACTTAGTAAAAGCCCAGAAGCTATATATATATTACTAAAAAAGACAGTTCATATTCTGTCATTGAGAATAATGGCTCACAATAGCAAAAGACTACTCATATCGGTAATTATAAGTTGTAATATTTTTTAACAACTGACATTATAACCAATAGTAACTGTAGTTTTTTTTGTTACGAGTGACATTTAACTAATTAGAAAGCATTCCTGTAATCATTTTTCTTAATAATAATATGTAGGCATGTATTCGTGTACTTCTGGATCCTTATAATCGATATTTAAGGAAATCAATTCAATCATGTCATTATTCAGACTTCCAAAAAGTCGAGATTGAAGACATGGAGATAGCAGAAAGAGAGAATGAACAACCATCATCTATGGATGTTTCTGATGATGCTACCTCACATGAAATATCTTATTTAGGAGAAGATCCTTTTGCTGGTGCACCTGCATCACAAATTGTCACATCTCTAACATATCCTTCCCAAATGAAATGTAAGTTTTTGAATTGTATATATTAGTTGGTTTTATTATATTTTATGCTAATATAATGCCCCCAAATGATCTGGTACGGTCGAGGGTGGGTAGAGTTCGCTCTCTCTCTTGAAATACTCTCATATGGTCATAGGTATATAGTTACTGCTATGGAAGTCCTACTTACTTCCCTCTCATGGTGGGGTGTTATTCACAAAATTGAGAGGACGGAAATTATGTTTTTGGCCGTTTAATCGGGTTGTTGGGTACGGAGGATCCACCTAGGAGAGTTGGAAAACCGTGATTTCGAACCAATATTACACATGGGCTATAGGATCTTGAGGGAAAAATGGCAACCATAGGACTGTGTCCCCTAACATTGCTCCACTGCCTTGTGGATTATACCTCTAGGTCAACGGTTCGGGGAGTGGCCCTCTAAGAAAACAATCTACTTGGGTTTGGGTGTCTGGGCAGTATCTTAGCTCACACACAAATTCAGTGGTTTGTGTGGCGCACATATATTTTGATGCCTCTTTGTAGCAATGTTTATGTGCTCAAATAAATAAGAAATCTATACTATTATTCACTCATTACTCTTAAATGTTTTGTACAATGATTCTTCAGTCAGTCAGTCAGCTACAACGTAGGACCAGGCACATATGTGCATCGGTCCAGGTTGCCATACCGCATCAGCACAACAAGATGAACACCGGATTCATAGCAGTGGTTATGTCAAAGGTGGTAATATATAAGAGAAAGATTGCATATAGAGATATAGTACAAGAAGAAAGAATTGGTTCGTAGAAAGAAAGATATGAAGTGATTTTAATCTCTTAGTTTAAGGGAAGACAGGGAGTGTATACACCGACGCCATTGTGATCGATTCTGAGCCATGTCACCAAGAGTCTCCAACCATTGGTTACGATAGTCACGCGGACCCCAACCAAGTAGTCTGCATCTACCAACATGGCTCAGACTACAAGTTAGTGACTTCAAGCACTGATGCCACGTTTTGGTTTGGCCGCCCCTAACTTTCTTCCAACCATCTCCAATACCGGATAGCATTGCACGTCGTGGTAATCGGTGTTCAGGCATACGTAACACGTGGCCCAACCATCTCAGTCGATGAAGATTCATAACCTCATCAACTGATTTACCATCATTCCCTAATACCCTGCGTCTAACCTCACTATTACTTACCCGGTGATCCCAGCAGACGCCAGCAATATTTCTAAGGCATCTGTGGTCAAATACTAGTAGCTTACGAGTGTCTTCTACTCTTAATGGCCATGTTTCGCTGCCGTAAATTAAAACAGAACGGACTGCCGCGCAGTATACTCGTCCTTTTATTGATAGACGGATATCTCGCCTTCGCCAAAGGTGACGTAAGTTGGCAAAAGCCAAACGAGCTTTTCGAATCCGTGCTGAGATTTCGTCAGACACCAACCCATTAGGGCTGATCAGACTTCCAAGATAAGTGAAGTTGTCAACGCGTTCGACTACTTCACTCCCTATCCTTAGTTCAGGTGTTGACGCAGACCAGTCCTGAAGCAACAACTTGCATTTAGAGGGAGAGAAGCGCATCCCAAACATTCTGGCATTGTTGCTTAGTGCTACCAGAAGACTCTGCATTTTGTCAGCGTCTTCACCAAACAGGACTATGTCATCTGCGTATTCTAAGTCGATAAGTGGACCTCCTGGATGGAGATCAATACCCGAGAATTCAGTCGACGAGAAAGTTATTTCCATCAGTAGATCTATGATGAAGTTAAACAAAAATGGGAAAGTGGACAGCCTTGACGGACACCACTTGAGGTTGCAAAGGTAGATGACAGTTCGCCATAAGCTCTGACTCGACTAGTAGTGTTCGAGTAAAGAGCCTTCACAAGGTTTATGTACTTCTGAGGTACGCCTTTCAATGACAGACACTGCCACAGAATCTCGCGGTCTACAGAGTCAAATGCTGCTTTTAAGTCAAGAAAGACCACCATTGTCGGACGCCGATAAGTATGCCTGTGTTCTAGAACCTGACGAATGGTGAATATGTGGTCGATGCAGCCACGACCAGGTCTAAAGCCAGCTTGGTTCTCTCGTGTTTGCAGTTCACGAGTCTTAGTTAGGCGTCTGATAATTATCGAGGCTAGTATTTTAGATATTATATTAGTTAAACTAATCCCTCTGTGGTTGTCACAGGATGATTTTGACCCTTTCTTATATATTGGGACGATAAGTGATTGTGACCAGTCAGATGGGATAACGTCTAACTCCCAGATCTTAGCTAAAATATTAGTCAACCTAATCGCTAAAATTGGACCACCATCCTTAAAGACCTCTGGAGCCAATCCATCTGGACCAGCTGCCCTTCCTCGTTTCAGATTAACTATAGCCTTTTGAACTTCAGCAAGAGTTGGGGGACCTACTTCAATGTTCCATTCACCTGTCTGGGAATGGAGGGTAGTTGTAGAGTAGCTGAAGGCCAGCTGAACTGTTCTCTGAAATGTTCCGCCCATCGTTCTAAACGTCTGGACTGGGAGCAGATGAGAGTATCGCCTTTTTCCGAAATAATCTCACTTACACTTGACTTATTAATTCCAGTTTCTTTTATTAGTCTGTAAAGCTGTCTTGTGTTCCCTATAGTCGCCGCCTTTTCCATCTCTTTTGCTTTCGTTGCCCACCACTGCTCACGGTCGTTCCTTAGACTTTTTCTTAACCTAGATCTGATTTGTTGTCGCTCTTCATCATGTTCGGAACCTGATGGGACGAGTTTGCGAGAATCCATCAGTGTGATAGACTTGAAGAAATCCACTGGTTCTTGTAACTCTGTGGTTTAAGTCACTAATAGATGTCACTGCTGTTTCCACAGCTGCTTGTATGTCTTCCAAGCAACATCTGGGTCAGCCTCGTCTTCACAACTACCTAAGTGTGACCTCAGTTGTTCCTGGAACCTACTTTTGGTTTTCTCGTTACTCAACTCAGTTCTAATGGGTCTTTTTAATGTGGCTTTTTTGCGTCCAGTGAGGCGCAAGCAGATGCGTGCCCGTATTAGGGCATGGTCGGAGTCCAAGCAGGTACTCCAGAATGAGCGACAATCTTCTACCGACCCTCTCCAACGATGACTGATGGCAATATGGTCTATTTGAGTCCATCGTTGGTTTGGTGTAGGGGGTCGCCATGTTAGACGATGTCTCTCCTTATGCTTAAAATTTGTGTTTGCTAAAAATAAACGATTGTCTGAGCATAGCTGCAGCAGACGATCACCATTATCTGTTCGCTGTGTCGGAATACTAAAATATCCACCTAAATGCCTTTCTGTTTGGTTTAAACTACCTATCTGAGCATTAAAGTCACCTGCTACGAGTACTATGTCTGAGCGTTTAGCTTTCTGAAGAAGTTCGGACAGCTTTCTGTAAAATTCATCTTTCACTTCATCTGAGCTGCAGTCAGTGGGAGCGTAGGCAGAAACGACAAAAAGGCAACGACGTGTGTCCCTATCCTTCCGAGTTCTTACGAGCCGTTCAGCCGAACAGCACATAGACGACTGTTGACGGGGATCCACTCTAGCAGTGCTTGTTCGGCCCTCATGCTTAGTGCTATGCCTACACCTGCCAGTCCACGAGAACTGGCCATCGGGTCACCAGATACACGAAGGGTGTATCTCGTTGGCTCTCCGTTTGCCGAGGTGAGGTCAAGTGAATGACCACACTGGAATCCTGTATGCGTGTTTCGGAGACACAGCATACATCAATGGAAAGAGACTCTAGGGTTTTAGCCAAGGAAGCCTGCTGACCGATTTGACATAGGGTGCGTACGTTGAAGGCTCCAATGTGTAGTTTGGAGCGAGGTTTCAGTAGACCTGGGACAGGTTTTGAGCACTAGAATCGTTGGCTATGGTGACACTTGAGGAGGAAGCCGAAGGAGGAAGTTTAGGGTTGAAAGTCGATGTAGGAGGAATAATAGGAATTGAAGAGGAAGGTTGATTATGAATACAGTGGTCTTGAGTGCTGTTAGAGGTATGAGGGCGGTTATCACTTCCCGGTTGCCCACACCGTGGAAGGGTTCTTCTGGAGGTACCTGAAAAGGAAATTGGATTAGAGGTGGTCTCAGTGACCTGAGAGCGTGACCGCAGTGCCCAAGGGACAACTGCTTGAGGCCGGTCGCGCACGGCCTTTTCGTGAGAGGTTTGTGACGTGTTAGCTCCGTTCTTCAAAGGGCCTTACCGCCGGAGACGGAAATCCGTGAGGTAAGGTGAGGTGTGCATTTTTAGGGTCGACCTTTTCTAACCCCACCCCTCCTTGTGGGAAGGCAGCATCGCTGTCATGCTGGTTGTCTGAAGGAAACACCTTACTGCTGTCACACCTCTGTACAGTCAGCAGTACGACTTCGCCTTCGGACCTTGGGTTTGTTGCTTTTAGTCTTACCGCTCTTCAACCGACCTGTCTGACATGGTAGGACCTTGAGGAACGGTTGTTCCAGCCAGTATAGCTCGGTTGCTTCATCACGATAGGCAAGCCCGACCACCACGTCAAGGTAGCAACAACGGTCGGGGACAATGATTCTTCGGGAAACACATTATACAATTGTCATCGTTTCTAAGGTCTGTGGTGCTGTACATTTTCCCAAAGCGAAGCAGATTATTTCCCTGTTGGAAGGGACCATTCTTAGTGCCTCCGACTTGAAAATCTAATTTATCCGGCGATTTGTGGACGTCAAAATATGCATCATCATGGGGGATCATTGGCCACCAAATGCATTGGTACGGCCGAGAGTGGGGAGAGTCCGCTCTCCCTCTCGAAATACTCTCACATGGCCATGCGTATATAGCATCGGCCAGGGAAGTCCTACTCACTGCCTTCTCGTGGCGGGGGTGTTGTTTACGAAAATGAGAGGACGAAAAGCGAATGTCTGGCGCTTTAACCGGATTCCAAATCAATGGTGCACATGGGCTCCAGTATCCTGTGGGAACAAAAGGCGTATGAACCAGTTGTTGGTCACTGGCTACCATGCGACTGCATCTCCTTACGATGCTCCACTGCCTTGTGGATCAGACCTTCAGGTCGAAGGCTCGGGGTGTGGCCCCCTAAGAAAACCAACTGTTTCGGTTTGGGCACCTGGGGAGTATCACAACCCTCACACATATCGAATGAGATTTGTGTTGCGCATATATGTTTGGTGCCTCCTTGTACCAATATCTGTGTTAAAATAATAATAATATAATCATTGGCCACAGATATGTCCATAAGTGATTTTCTTTGGGATCCTGTGGTTCATATTGGTCATTATTTCAGAATTAGCATATTTCCGGTGCCTTATTGTGCCAAACGTTTTTGTATTTCAAATCAAAATCAAGCTTACGATCTATTTCTTTCGCTTTCTCACTTTGGTAAAAATATCCTAACCACAAGAAAGGTATCCGTCATAAGAAGGTCGAAAGCATATGGCTTTTTGAGCGGAACCATATATAGATATTTAGTAGAATGTAATTTATTTGCCACATATTACTTTAAATTAATCTCATTTGCATAATTTAATTGGTGTCACTATCTTGAAACATCGACTTCAGTGGCTTGGACATGCTCTAAGAATGTCGTCCCAAAGAATTCCTCGTCGTGCATTATTTGCCGACTCTGGGACTGGTTGGAAAAAGCAGAGAAGTGGTCAGTGTATGACATGGTGTTGTGGTATGAAAGAAAGCTGCACAGGACTGGCATCTGTTGGTCCTTCACGACTACCTGGTTGGGGTCCTAGAGATGGTGCAACACAATGGCTAGAGACGTTATGAGATATGGCTCAGAATAGAAGCCAGTGGCGATCCTGCTGTAACTTTCTTTTACTTTCTTCATAAAAAGTGGCCGTAACTTATTTAACTGAAAGAATTCTTTCTGGTCGTACCTTTCTGCTTCTCCCATTATTATTGTTATTTTTATTACCATACACTAATTTGTAGTGGTTATTGTTCTTTTTTTTTACAACACACCTTACATTATTTATCTCTCCCCATTCTCATTGTTATTGTGTGGCGCATATGTATCTGGTGCCCCCTTGTACCAATATTTATGTGTTCAAATAAATAAATAAATAAAATAGCATAAAGGCCACAAACTAGTTAAATGCAGTTATGACAAGTGGTAGTTTGTTCGCGTGTATTAATTCGTTATTCAAGCCATCTATTCTAGAAAAACTTATGCAGTTGATCATACTTTATACTTGGTAAATTGTGGGATTATGCAACTAGTATACTTTGTAACTTATATCCGTCTGGTTTATTCTAATAATTTGAATATAGTAGACAAGATTTATGATTCAGTATAGGATGATTTCGGTGGAATAGTGTACACTAAACTGAATAGTTTATTTGCGTAGCCTTACCAAAATAACTAATTTTGATGTCAACTTATTCTCTTCGCATGATATTGAATAGCCTTTAAAAAATGACATCGAAATCATGTGGGTAAACATAAATACTCGGACGATAGATGGATGCTCGGTCTTCCACTCTGTTGTGTTAATGCAGTTTGTAACGATCCCTAATTATCTCGTCTCGAAATCCTCAATTCACCCCCCCCAAAAAAAACTATAGTAAAATAAATACATCGTTGGCTCTTAAAACATGAGAATTCCAACCAGTTGGTCACAAGTTCAAATCTTATTTAACCTTCTTTCTCGAGCCTAGGTATCCTTATCGCATCACTAACCACTAAAAGACCGGATAAGCATAACGCTGATTATTACTCAGTTATCGATCAATTAGAAACATCTCAGTTGTACAGGTGGTCAACCGCGTTCCAAATAGATTAGTCATATCATCTCAGACTGTGAGTCTGGGCAAATCGTTTTCGAATCCCACTGTGACCATCAGTCCCTTCAAAATTACGGATACCCCAGCACGAAACTTAATTTTAGGGTTTGCCGCTAACTACGTCTAACTTCTTAATATTTTAACAAAATGCACTTAATGTTGAGTTACTCTGACTAGGGGCCACATTACAACGTGATTGATCAAATTCGATCAACATTGAAGGATTAGGCAAACTACATTGATCACTGTCCAATGACCAATTGATTGTATTATTGATTTTTACTCATAAAGTACATGAACCAGTAATTAGATGCTCGGTTACAAATAAACATTTAATCTTAAACTGACATACACATCTTTCAAGTTGTACGTTATTCTTACTCATTCAAATTAAGATGGATAAGTACACATAATCCTGCTTGTCTTGAATATTAATAATAAGTAAGCAACTGTTTTTTTTCTCTTGTTGTTTAAATTGACTTTTACATTGTTCAATCTAATTTCCTTATTTTTCCGTAGCCATTTCAAAACAAGTGGGAGGAAATTCTATCTTAATGAAAAGAAACAAATCATGTCCCTCAGATGTTGGTTACTGGTCCTCGACTAATCCTATTGTTGGTGATAATAAAATAATTGATAATAATAGCGCTGATAAAACCACTAGCTGCCCTTCACTTTATCATGAAATTATGATTAGTCGAAGTATACAAGGAATTAATCAATTAAAGTACTTGGCTACAATTATTAATTCTTATTGTCCTATTTCATTTGAAATGTTTAATGGAATGAACACTGATTTTACTATGGATAATGATGAACTCCTATGCATTGCTAAAGAATTTCAAAATCTTATTCGAACAATTTCTGGTGTTTTATCCCGTTTCATTAATAAACTTATAGATGTCTTTTTGTAAGTCCAGTCTTTCTGTTATTGTTTTGTGTTTAACAATAGAAAACAACTTAATGACTTATTATGAGAGAACTCATTAAATCATGTTTTTGGGTACGAAACAAAATTCATAAAGTTTTGGCTCAGTGGTTAAGATTCTCATCTTTTCTCCACTAAGTTCGAGGTTTGAATTCTCCTCTACGTACTTGATTTTGTGCAACCGGTTAGTATCACTTGCCCTCACATTTTGAATGTGGCCCGTGGCTTCAAGTAATTAGTGATTGGGTTAGTGAGTCAAAGTCAAAGAAGTGAAAAAGAATATTCATAGAATAAAATTTGAGCACGAAAATAAATGATTCGGGATTATGGTCACCTAGTTCTGTAGTAGATTTTACCTTTGAGCATTAATTCAGAGGTAACATATTGTGAATATACTCTGTATGAAACTGAAAATTTCTAAATAAAATCTATGACATTTCAACTTGGGATTCTATCGGTTGATTAGTGTGGAGACCGAAAACAATAGTGTATGTTTATAATTTGACTTAGCCAAATGGGGCTAAATATATCGGTCTTACTAGGAGCTTGCCTGTAAAATGTACACCTTGGCTAGCTAAAAATAAGAGAAGATTCGTTCACATCTTCGTTATTGATCTTCATATACTTGACATGATAGGCACTGCATTCGAGTTGGAAGAAAGTTAGGGGCGGCCAAACCAAAACGTGGCATCAGTGCTTGAAGTCACTAACTTGTAGTCTGAGCCATGTTGGTAGATGCAGACTACTTGGTTGGGGTCCACGTGACTATCGTAACCAATGGTTGGAGACTCTTGGTGACATGGCTCAGAATAGACCACAATGGCGTCAGTGTATCCACTCTCTATCTTCCCTTAAACTAAGAGATTAAAATCACTTCATATCTTTGTTTCTACGAACTAATTCTTTCTTCCTGTACTATATCCTTATATGCAATCTTTCTTTTATATATTACCACCTCTGAATTAACTACTTTTCTGAATCCGGTGTTCATCTTGTTGTGTTAATGAGGTGTGGCAACTTGGACCGATGCATATATATGCCTGGTTCTACGTTATAGCTGACTGACTGACTGCATCCGAGTCTCAGTTTGAATATCAACACTAGGATGTAGGTAGATTTCGTTTGGAATATGAAAAAAGCGCATCATTGATTCTAGTGTTAATCAGAACCCATATGTGCTAGAAATTGTAATCAAAAGGTTATATTGAAGCGATTCGCTTCGAATTTATGTATATCATTTAGAGTCCTGAATATGAACAACGGAAAATTTCAATACCTTATTAATACTTTCAATATTTTATATTACTAAAAAATGTTAACAGCTAGTCATATTTTGACTTTGCTTGTTGTTTGTTGTTCTTGTTATATTTTCTCTTCTCTCATTCATTATCTTGTTCAAGTCAAATGGAAGAAGGAAAAAATCCAATTTCATCATTATCAACAACATTAATACAAAATGAATTAATTGGTGATAATGCTACAAATGTTGCGTGTTCAATTGATCAGTCATCTTTTAAACAATCTCAGTATACTACTTCTAAACGAAAAAATTACATTTCATCATTTTGTGTTATTGTACCTTTAATTATCGAATGTTTAAACTTAGCCTCTGTATTTGCTGTTTTCATTAAACCGGATACAAATCCATTGAAAAACAAGGTTTCCAATACAGATGTGAATGCAACAAACTTGTAAGTGTATTTAGTAAAATACCAATTTATTCATGTTGGTTTTCATGAATTATTTATCAATAGTTTCTCGTTAGTTCTTTATTCATTACATGAGCGGTGGCTCAGCGGTTGAGACGTTCTACTTTCAAACAATAAGTCTTAGGTTCGAATCCCATCCCATTTATTTTGGTTTTGAAAACCGGTTAGTATCAATAGCCCTCCTACTATAAATATGGTTCCAAGTGAAGTACAGGCATTTGTATCTGATAGTGATTCAGTAATAACAATAATATGAATTGACTTTACACATTTATTTCCATTTTTATTATTGGTTGAGCTACTACTATATTATTATTGTGTTAAGTGTTACAATAGGACATAGGACTTAATGCTTACAAAATGTTAAGTTGAGGGTGCTTAATGACCACAATTAAACGTCATACATAATCATACACAGATTTTCTTGATGACACCTGACATTAAAATGAGCTAGTAGAATGAGCAATCAACTTCCTGTGTTATGAGAAAGAATTTGACAATGAGAATATGAGAACCTTGTGGAATCCTCTTCGACACTATGGAGTACTTAAGAAGATCGTCAACATCATACGGGACTCTTTTGAGGGACTGAGCTGCAAAGTTGTGCATTGAGGGCAGTTCATAGATGCATTACAAGCGAAGACCGGTGTCAGGCAAGTCTGCTACCTCTTGCTTTTCTTTTTTGGTGGTCAACTGGATTATAAAGACCTCTTCTACTGTACGGAGCTGAAACTTCCAGCACTACTACAATCACCACCAAAAATGTATTATAAATAAATGTATACGCAAGATACTCAATGTCCGCCGGTCGCATACCATCAGCGACAACCTACCGTGGGAGAGGAAAAACCAACTTCCAACTGAAGAGGAAATAAAAAAAGACGTAGGTGGACAGGAAATACATTGTGAATATCATCAAACTGCATCACGAGGCAACCGCAAACTTGAAATCCTGAATGGAAACGGAAAAGTGGAAGGCCAAAGAACACACTGCCTCGACAATTAGAAGTAGATATGAAAAAGATTAATAGAAACTGGAAAGTTGTCCAGGACAGAGTTCGATAGAGAATCCTAGTGGGTAGCCTCTGCCTCACGAGGAGTAACATCTGTAAGTAAATTTAGGGTAGATCTTCACGGTAGACTGTACTATAAAGGGGGTTGTATAAAAGTATACAATGTGAACTTCGCCATGAGAGATCTTATTTATTATTTATTAAAACACATAAACATTGGTACAAGTCATCAAATACATATGCGCCACACAAATCATTTCGTTTGTGTGAGGGCTGGAATACCGCTCGGATGCCAAAACTGAAGCACATAATCTTCTTACAGGGCCACTTCCCATGCTTTTGACCTGAAGGTCTAATCCACAAGGTAGTGTAGCAACGTTCGGAGACTCAGTCCCATGGTAGTCGGTGACCAACAATAGGTTGGTACGCTATTTGTTCCCTCGAGATCCTTGATCCCATGTGCACCACTGGTTTGGAATCAGGGTTTCATAACTCCCCTAGATGGATCCTTCATATCTACCAACCTAGTTGAGGCGTCGGATATTCGCTTTTCATTCTGTCAACTTCGTCAGCTACTCCCCTGCCACGAAATGGCAGTGAGTAGGGATTTCTGGCAGCGTGAATTGATAAAAAGTAATCAACGAGAAAACTGCAGAAAGTCCATGGTTTATGGATTAGTAGCAGCAATGTAAGAATTTAAGATCACTCCTTAGTTTTTTTGTTGACTTTTAAGATGTATTTCTGTATGTAATGTAATGTAAAACCGTAAAGTACATTTTATATTGCTCTCGTTTTTTTATTTTACATATATATACCTTTAGTTCTGAACTGAACACATGTTTTCCTCAACTTTTGAATTGTATTATCCTAACATCGGAGGCTTGTTTTGGTCAAGATGATGAATCAACTGATGTTACAGCGACCACAAAAAATCACTATGGATCTTCTTTACATAATGGTATAACAAATATTATCAAGAATCGTCCTGTTGTAACCTTAAAACCATTGATAAGTTTTCTTCGCCTATGGAGACAAATGATAGCTCAGAAGCATTGGCCTGGTGGACATTGTTGTGACCATGGTGGGATTTACACGATCAAAATTTTAATTCAATAATCTTGAAAGGTAGATACTTTATTTATTGCTTGATACCTTAGTAAAAAGTGTTTTTTTTTCTCTGTATAAAAATATTTATAGTCACATATTTGATTGATATTTTCTAAGTCATCATCATGTATTCACTAGTGCTTAACTCTATGAAGTAAGTTGTTGGGTTGTACTCCGAATCCATGATCATTGGCGTTCAACTAACAGCAATTGATAGGTAGCCCAAGTCACAAATCGACTGAAGCCAGAAATGTAAACCATTGGATTGGAGATTAACATGATGAAGATACATGTGTTTATACAAACGGGAATATTATAATGATCAGTACATTAAAGAAAGTTGATAGTTCTATACATAAATGTAAGTGTATATGAAATACTTACAAACAATAGAAGAATTAAATGCTGATGTTCACTTGTACAAATTGAAGTGCAGAAAGATAAAGGGTATATAAAATATAAACTTAAAACTTTACAAGTGATATTCAGGTGTTAGAGATAATTGAACCAAGTTCTCAATGGGAAACAGTGCTGAACTGTAATCTCGGTAAAAAAAAGGTTGAAAATGCAAATCTCAACTCTATGATAAGCGTAATCAGTTAATCAATCAGGTCAGTCATTCACTTAATGTAGAACCTTTCATAAATGTGCATCCACATCAATACAATCAATGAAATTAAGAAGATGAGTATCAAGATAGTGGGAGTGATAGTATCGCTGAAAATATGTGGATTGGGAATAGAGGATATTTTTCAGTATGTAAGAATGGATTGACAAAATAAAAAGTTTCATACAATAACAAGATTCAGGATATAGTTTTGGACAAACAATAGATACATCTAGGTTATTGTGATGGATTCTAATCTGTAGTATGTATGTAGGAGTTTCGCATGTTACATTCTAGTTTGACAAAATTATCCTAGATAATTAGATACTATCGTTAGGCTTTGAACAATATATGGGTTTGTACCTACCAAATAGATGTTTACATGAATATTAATGGATATATTATAAATTAGAACATCGTAGTTGATATCTTTTCAGTCATATTACAGTGAATGGCTGAAAATTTTCGAAATAGTATTATTATTTGTAAATAAATTATAGATCAGATTAGCTTGTCATAACTGTTTAGAAAGTCAACATCTTCAAAGGTTAGTTCTTAAGGAAAAGTAAAGTTTTCATTCTATCATTCACTGCAGTGGTAATAAAATTTCTGCGTTCTTTCTTCTGAATCGTTAGTAGAGAACTGTCGAAAGTTATGGTGGAAGAGGGAAAATATATTGCTAGTTCTATTAAACGTTTATTTTCATATTAATACATTCACTATTGTATTTTTCAGGACAAAAATAATAATGATAAAATCTCTTTACTATTACTTACTAACTTACGCCTGTTACTCCTAACGGAGCATAGGCCGCCGACCAGCATTCTCCAACCCACTCTGTCCTGGGCCTTCTTTTTTAGTTCCATCCAATTCTTGTTCAGTTTTCTCATGTCTACTTCCATTTCCGGCGTAATGTGTTCTTTGGTCTTCCTCTTTTCCTTTGACCTTCAGGATTCCATGTGAGTGCTTGTCTTGTGACACAGTTGAGTGCTTTCTTCAATGTGTGTCCTATCCACTTCCAGCGCTTCTTCCTGATTTCTTCCTCCTCTGGGATCTGGTTTGTTCTCTCCCACAGTAGGTTGTTGCTAATAGTGTCTGTCCAACGGATCCGAAGTATTTTGCGTAGACAACTGTTAATAAACACCTGTATTTTCTGGATGATGGATTTCGTAGTTCTCCAGGTTTCTGCCCTGTACAGCAGAACTGTCTTGACATTTGTATTGAGAATCCTGATTTTGGTGTTGGTTGACAACTGTTTTGAGTTCCAGATGTTCTTCAGTTGTAAATATGATGCTCTTGCTTTGCCGATCCGCGCCTTCACATCTGCATCAGATCCACCCTGTTCATCAATGATGCTGCCCAGATATGTAAAGGTTTTTACATCTTCCAAATCTTCTCCGTCAATTGTGATTGGATTGGTGCATGCTGTGTTGTGTCGGAGAATCTTGCTTTTCTCTTTGTGTATATTGAGATTTACTGCTGCCGAGGCTACTGCTACACTGTTCGTCTTTTCCTGCATTTGTTGTTGCGTTTGGGATAGAAGCTCTTTGCTATTACAAATACCTTAATAAAATCTATTTTTTTGTTCGTAGATGTCCGTCAACAATACATTGAAAAATTATTCGGTACATCTATAAAATGTGGTCTACTTTCATTGTGTTCATGGATTTATCAACTTTTGAATCAATTTAATGATTCTACACTTTTATCAAATTCATTAATTTCTAACAATATTGAGTTTTATCATTCAGCAGAAATGCAAAGAATTAATTTGTTGAATGAAGTAAGTTTTTTTTGCGGTTTTCTTTTTGTTTTTATTGAAAAAAAAAACAATGTTATGGATACTTTTACTGTTTAAATTAGTACACTAATGATAATTATTCACATAACTGATTGGATTGAAGTGCAATAATTAAGCAATGGATTTCACCAAACAACGTGTTGATTGATCAGTCGTACAGGAAGTCAATCGCTACTTGAATAGTTCAGTGGTAACATCTCCGAATGTGAGATTGGGTAATGTGGATTTGAATGACACAGGAAGTGTCAGTTCCTTCAAGATTACAAATACATCTTAATGACGAGTACCAACTAATACGAAACCTAAGTCCAGGGTTTCTTGCAGCCTACCTCCAACAACTTGTAGTATCAAGACAATAAATACGATTACTATCTTCAGAACTTTACTTTTTGTTTAGCCACAGAAACATCAGATGATATCAAGTATATAATTGCAAAGAACAATGAATTACAATCAAAATTGCTATTTTTATGCGATCTTAGCTGAGAATTCTATATTGTACCAAAAATATGATATTGAATAAAGCCACTAATAATAATAATAATAATAATAATAATAATAATAATAATAATAATCTGCTCATTTGAGGTTGAAAGTATAAAATGTTGAACTGTCCACGGATCTATATTGTTCACAATGTCAATCTGTTTGCAATGTTGGTTGACATGTTTCCGCACGTGCTTTATTTTTGACATATATATTTTTCATGTTGCTATATAATGCCAAGTGACCTAGATGAATGTACATATGTAAGTTCCATGATAACGTATGAACAAGGAATAAACATGAGGATGTAACGAATGATTATGATACTATATTACATCTTCATGTTTATTCCCCACTCATATGTCATCACGGAAGTAGTACTTTAACACACTAGGGAATTGGAAAACCCTGATTCCAAACCAATGGTGCACATGGGCTCCAGGATCCCGAGGGAACAAATGGCGTACCAACCTATTGTTGGTCACCGACTACCATGGGACTGAGTTTTCTAACGTTGCTACACTACCTTGTGGATTAGACCTTCAGATCAAAAGTATGGGAAGTGGCCCTCTAAGAAGACTACCTGCTTCAGTTTGGGCGTCCGAGCAGTATTCCAGCTCTCATGCAAATCAATGACAACTGCTACTGGTCTCATTATTATTGAGTGGCGCATATGTATTTGGTGCCCCCTTGTACCAATGTTTATGTTTTCAAATAAATAAATAAACAAATAAATAAACATTATACTTATAAAGTTCGCTTGATATTCTATGAATTACATGTTACATCTCTCCATATTTTTTTATTCGTTACAATATAAATTTCTTTGTTAACTTTCCAGTTTTCTGGAATGATTGCTGTGCTTACTCAACGTGAAGATATAATTTGGCCTGATAATTGTTACTGTAAACGTCAGGTAAGTAATTAATTCATTATCCACTGTTAAATCTCTTTTTAATCATGTCATGCTTTAAAAGATTTCAAATATACATACTCAAAGAGTGAATTGGTGTGTTAACTGTTGTTTATCATTTACATACTCATCTAGTTCATTATTGACGGAAAACTAACTTATCATTATTACATCGGTAGTAAAGTTGGAATTGTGGCTAGGGGCGAAATCCAACACTCGCATTTCGTCTTGTATGTAACTAGCCTGTCGTATGTACTTGCATCCCATTTATTTCCACACTGAGAATCGAACTTAGTATCTTCCGCTCTTAACGCCAACGCATTATTCATTGAATTACTGGATGCAGATAATCGGTAACTTGTTTAGTGGATACGGAGCCATATATGTAAGGGTTTGCATTTTTCCATTGATATAATTGGGGTGTATTTTATCAGTCTCTGTTGGCGTCTGTTCATCTTTTATAGATTGCACCGACATTGTCTTTAGTTACAAGTTTTGGGTCGATTTGGATTTATAACTTGTAATTAAAGCCAATTTTACGACAATCCTTACAGGATGCATTGATTCCAATAGAGGTTGATAAAATACGAGTCAATGTATCGAAAATGGAACAATCCAAATCTTTACAGATTAAATTAAAATTTATACCCCATTGCACAAGTGAGTGGATATGTGAACTCAGTAGCTAAGCGGATTGTCAGTCGGTCAGCTGCAACGTAGGACCAGGCGCATATGTGCATCGGTCCAGATTGCTATACCGCATCAGCACAACAAAATGAACACCGGATTCATAGCAGTGGTTAGGTCAAAGGTGGTAATAAATAAGAGAAGATTGCATATAGAGATATAGTACAAGAAGAAAGAATTGGTTCGTAGAAAGAAAGATATGAAGCAATTTTAATCTCTTAGTTTAAGAGAAGACAGGGAGTGTATACACCGACGCCATTGTGATCGATTCTGAGCCATGTCACCAAGAGTCTCCAACCATTGGTTACGATAGTCACGTGGACCCCAACCAAGTAGTCTGCATCTACCAACATGGCTCAGACTACAAGTTAGTGACTTCAAGCACTGATGCCACGTTTTGGTTTGGCCGCCCCTAACTTTCTTCCAACTACCTCAAACACCGGATAGCATTGCACGTCGTGGTAATCGGTGTTCAGGCATACGTAACACGTGGCCCAACCATCTCAGTCGATGAAGATTCACAACCTCATCAACTGATTTACCATCATCCCCTAATACCCTGCGTCTAACCTCACTATTACTTACCTGGTGACCCCAGCAGACGCCAGCAATATTTCTAAGGCATCTGTTGTCAAATACTAGTGACAAGTATCTTCTACCGTTAATGGCCACGTTTCGCAGACGTAAAGCAGAACAGAACGAACTGCCGCTCAGCACACTCGTCCCTAGTTGATAGACGGATATCTCGCCTTCGCCACGGGTGACGTAAGTTGGTGAAAACCAAACGAGCTTTTTGAATCCGTGCTGAGATTTCGTCAGACACCAACCCGTTTGGACTGATCAGACTTCCAAGATAAGTGAAGTTGTCAACGTGTTCGACTACTTCACTCCCTATCCTTAGTTTAGGTGTTGACGCAGACCAGTCCTGAAGCAACAACTTGCATTTAGAGGGAGAGAAGCGCATTCCAAACATTCTGGCATTGTTGCTTAGTGCTACCAAAAAAATTCTGCATTTTATCAGTGTCTTTATCAAACAGGACTATGTCATCTGCGTACTCTAAGTCGATAAGTGGACCTTCTGGATGGAGATCAATACCCGAGAACTCAGTCGACGAGAAAGTTATTTCCATCAGTAGATCTATGATGAAGTTAAACAAAAATGGGGAAAGTGGACATCCTTGACGGACACCACTTGAGGTTGCAAAGGTAGATGACAGTTCGCCATAAGCTCTGACTCTACTGGTTGTGTTCGAGTAAAGAGCCTTTACGAGGTTTATGTACTTCTGAGGTACGCCTTTCAATGACAGACACTGCCACAGAATCTCGCGGTCTACGGAGTCAAATGCTGCTTTTAAGTCGAGAAAGACCACCATTGTCGGACGCCGATAAGTATACCTGTGTTCTAGAATCTGACGAATGATGAATATGTGGTCGATGCAGCTAAGCGGATAACACTTTGGCGTTTGTAATGAACATTACTGGTCTGGAGTCCTGGGGTGAACATCAACTCTTAAATGGAGGTACATCTAGCTGCCAAGTCCTAAAAAGTTCCATGACTTTTTGGTGATTGCCTGCTACCACATAAATAATTTTACAATGGTTACTACGGATTGGTCAGTTAATGCTGAATATCTCAACTCCACAGTTCAATTACGAAAATAACGTACGCTTTATTGATCACTAAGTAGTGAACAATGTTGTGTTAGTCTAGTCCTTTATTTCTGATTAAATTTTATTAAGTTACAATGTCAGCAATAGTTTAATTCATTCGACAAAACCGAGTTGCAGGATGTCCAGCTGACAATTTCCAATGTGACTAATACGTCTTGATAGTATGTGTAAAATAAATAAAACCTAGGTACCAGAGCTTTCCACTGTCTACATTTAAGCCATCTAACATCTTTTCTAGTAGATGCAATACTTTAACTGAAAATTGTTCTTAACCTTAAATTTGAAAATGTATTTGAAGACAATAATTTATCATGAAATCCTGAAAATCTTCGCCAAGAAAGAGTTAAAAAGAAAATGTTTAAGATGCAACGAACGGATATTTGTCACCGAGACAAGGAAAGATTGATAACCATCTTCTTTTGAACACATAAGTCAGATTTTTGACGCCTGATTGAAATGGCTTCAGCAAACTTCAGAAGACTAGTGTTTGGCTGCTTACTAATCACCTTGAAAGATTGCAAGATATCGACCTAATGTTCTGTATCCAGAAGATGTTCGGTAATTGCACTATTCAAAGTCTTTCTTTCCCTTCCTCTTTTCAAAATGATAAAGGGAACCATTGATTTGACGATATATGATGTCGTCAAACTGAAATTGAACGTCTGTTGTACACATTAGTAGTAGTTTTTTGAATTATGGGGCTAGTAAATTTATTTATTTATTTATTTATTTATTTATTTATTTGAACACATGAATATTGGTACAAGAGAGCGCCAATATATATGCGCCACACAAAACAATGAGAATTCGAAGAGAAATAGAAAAAAAACTAAGGAGCACCCTAGTACGGCCGAGAGTGGGGAGAGTCCGCTCTCCCTCTCGAAATACTCTCACACGGCCACGCGTATACAGCCTCTGCCAGGGAAGTCCTACTCATTGCCTTCTCGTGGCGGGGGTGTTGTTTACGAAAATGAGAGGACGAAAAGCGAATGTCCGGCGCTTTAACCGGATTCCAAATCAATGGTGCACATGGGCTCCAGTATCCTGCGGGAACGAATGGCGTATGAACCAATCGTTGGTCACCGGCTACCATGGGACTGCATCTCCTTACGATGCTCCACTGCCTTGTGGGTTAGACCTTTAGGTCAAAGGCTCGGGGAGTGGCCCCCTAAGATAACCACCTGCTTCGGTTTGGGCACCCGGGCAGTATCACAGCCCACACACAAATGATGAACTCTTTATGTCTATGGAAATTACTTTCTCGCTTTGAAAAACAAACAATTGATTCAAATTATTATCATTACAATTATTGTCATTATTAATACTATTATTATTACTATTATTGTCATTATTATTATTATTATTATTATTATTATTATTATTATTATTATTTTCCACATTATTCACCCTCTTTTATACTTATACAGCGGCTCGTCTTTGGTGGAAATTCGACTGTATCTAAACGTTCTCGAGTCACTGTCCGGTTGAAAATTGTATGTTACCACCGAATACGAGGACTGAAGCAGATTTTCTGAAACCACGTGCACCATTCAAACTGGCTGCCTTCAACGTTCGCACATTTATGCAGGTCGGACAACAGATAGGGCTGGCTATGTCTTTGGAAAGTCTTAATATCGACGTTTGTTGTCTATCCGAGACCCGTATTCAAGACTCTGGCGAAGTACTACAAATTCGATCTCCATCTGTCGCTTCGAAAAGCTTGTTTTACGTGCGCTTATCCGGGGACCCTGTGGCATCTTCGTCTGGTCTTGCTGGCGTTGGTGTCGCACTAAGCGCTAGAGCTGAGGCAGCACTAGTCGATTGGATCCCCATTAACAGTCGGTTATGTGCTGTTAGATTAGAAAGTTCCATCAAAGTGAGAAGAAATCGGCGTGAGAAACGATGTCTTTTCGTCATCTCCGCCTATGCCCCGACAGATTGCAGCCCGGATGCAATCAAGGATGAGTTTTACCACCAGTTATCAGTTCTTCTCCAGAAAGTGCGTTCGACAGATATTGTAGTACTAGCCGGAGACTTGAATGCTCAGGTCGGGCGTCTAGGCACAGAAGAGAGTCGTTTAGGTGGCCGATGGGGACTCGTTGGTCGCAGGTCAGATAACGGGGACCGTCTACTGCAACTTTGCACAGACCACAACCTGTTTCTGGCTAGCACTAACTTTCGGCACAGTCATCGCCGATGTGCCACCTGGCGTCCTCCCTCTGCATCTCAAGCCTGGACTCAGATTGATCACATCGCGATCAGCTACCGCTGGCGTGGTTGTGTACAAGACTGCCGCTCCTTTTGGAGTACCTATCTGGACTCTGACCATGCCTTGGTCTGCGCCAATCTTGCCTTACTTTTCAGTGGACAACGAAGTGAACGCCATCAACGGATTGATGTTAGCAAGCTGGTTGCAACTTCTGTTGCAAGTAAGTATCGAACCGAGCTAGCCTCTAGGCTAGCTACCACTCCACCGAAAAGTATAGATGAGCATTGGTTGCAATTGCATGACGCCATGAAAATGGCGGGAACAGTCAGTTGTGGGTTTGCGAAACGTCCCGCTTTAAGCACTGGGTTTCTTCTGGTTCCTTACAACTCATTGAAGCCCGTCGGTCTACTCCGGGTGACCGTGAGTTTGACCATAAACGAAGGATGTTACGTAAGGAAATTGGGCAAAGCTTGCGTAAGGACCGAGAAGCCTGGTGGTCGATGCGTGCTAATGAGCTGGAAGCAGCAGCTGCATCTGGTAACTACCGGAAGCTCTTCCAGCTCATCCGAGCCACTGGCAGCAAGAAGTCTGGTGTGAGTGAAACAATCTGCGAGGATGATGGGATGCCAATCACTAACATCCATCGACGTCTTGGACGATGGGCAGAATTTTTCGAAGGGCAGTTCAACTGGCCTGCTGCTCCGGCAACATCGGTCAGACTGTCCTGCCCTCCATGGCCGGTGACGACTGATCCACCAAACGAGGAGGAAGTCCGCAAGGAACTCCAACTCTTGAAGCGTTACAAATCACCTGGCCCAGATGACTTACCTCCGGCTCTTTTTAAAGATGGTGGTGACTTTTTGACTAAGGAATTGACGACGTTGTTTACAAAGGTTTGGGAACTAGAGAGTGTACCAACGTCATGGAATGAGTCGATAGTTGTCCCTATCTTTAAAAAGGGTTCACGTCGTTCCTGTAACAACTATCGGGGGATAAGTCTACTTCCGATTGCGTCCAAGCTATTGGCGCCTTCGTGATGTTAGTCTGGCTGTAAAAGGTCGGATCTACAACGCGTCAGTGAGAGCAGTTTTGCTCTATGCTTGTGAAACCTGGCCTCTCCGAGTTGAGGACGTTAGACGACTCTGTGTTCGATCATCGCTGTCTCCGAAGGATTGCTGATATTCAGTGGCAACACCATGTCAGTAATGCAGAGGTTCGGCATCGTGTGTTCGAGCACAGAGATGATAATTCAATTGGTGTCACCATCTTGAAACACCAACTTCGGTGGCTTGGGCATGTTCCAAGAATGTCGTCCCAGAGAATTCCACGTTGTGCGTTGTTTGCCGACTCTGGGACTGGTTGGAAGAAGCGGAGAGGTAGTCAGTGCATGACATGGTGTCGTGGTATGAAAGAAAGCTGCAAAGGACTGGCTTGTGTCGGTCCTTCACCACTCCTTGGTTGGGGTCTGAGAGATGGTGCTACACAGTGGCTAGAGACGTTATGAGATATGGCTCAGAATAGAAGCCAGTGGCGATCCTGCTGTAACCTTCTTTTACTTTCTTCATAAAAAGTGGTTGTGTCTCCCTTACCTGAAAGATTTCTTCTGATTGTACCTTTCCGTTCCCTCGTTACTACCACACTACCTTACACCAATCTCTTCGTTATTGTTCTTCTTTTCTTTTGCGCTCCTTAGTTTTTTTTTCTATTTCTCTTCGAATTCTCACTGTTTTGTGTGGCGCATATATATTGGCGCTCTCTTGTACCAATATTCATGTGTTGAAATAAATAAATTATCATAAGTTATGAAAGGAAAATAAAAACCCAGAACAAAATTACCTGCTTTCTATCTTAATCTATGAGCAACTTTTTTCTTCCAAATAATGATTATTTTCAGAAGGGAAAACCTGGAAGCACTAGACGGCTCTTTCGCCCTATATTGGGGCTCCTGAGCAGTGCGCATCCACGACCTCGCCTCGCGGGATTCGAACCCAGGACCTGTCAGTCGCGCCAAGCGCTTAACCAACTAGACCACTGAGCCGCCCGGCATCCAACGGTGTTAATGTCTGACTTTATCTAATCCACGAAATTGAGCGATACATTCACCATTGTCATCAGTGAGTTACTATCTCAAAACTGACCCGAGTGAACTCTGCTGGTCACTGTTTCTCACTAGAACTCCAAGGATATATCTCTGAAAGCCAGTCACTAGTGAGCATATGTTGATTAGTATCAGAAGGAGTTCAATTGACTCATGATCTCAACTCTTGAAATAATTATTTTCTTGGAATTATGTGTGTATTAAAGTAGTTTTTCGTATTTCTGTTATAAATTTCTTTTTCTTTCTTTGTCCGACAGGTTTATTCAACATTAGTTTATTTAGCAACTAATCCATTACAAACATTATTAACTATTCCTACTAGTTTATTATCAACATCATTAATTCATCATCAATCTACATTTACATATCATATATTATTAATGAAACAAAAATATTGTTTACTTGCTTTTGGTCAATTAACACGTGCTTTAATTGGATTATTATGGAGACATGGTGATCAATGTTTTCAATCATATACTGATTGTTTACCAGATTATTTTTGTTTAATTACTAATTTATCACGTTGGTTTCAATATACTAATCGTATACAATTAGTAGGAAATGATAATTATCACCATGAATTGAATCATTCATTTAATCTTAATAATAATAATAATTTCACATTAAGACCTGAATTAATTGAAGAATTGTATGATTTCGAGTCTGGATTAGAAACTCCATCAAATTCAAATGTTTTTTGATCTTGTTTTTTTCTTCCCGATCATCTAAAATACATCATTGTTCAATTTTGTACATTTTGTAAATAAGTTTGTTATTGTTCTATAATTTCGTTTTTGTTTTCATTCTGTATAGATCATTGCTTCTCTTCTTCATTTCTTTTGAACATTTCCCCCCTCCCCTCTCACAAATTATCGTTCTGTTTACCTCCTGATGTAGTGAATTGTTTAATTCTCTTTGTTTATTTTACATTTCGTTTCCTCTTTGTTTTCAAAGAGAGATAGAGAGAAACAACAACATACTGTTCTGTAAATACTATTGAATAAAATTACTTGTGATTTTGTAACTTGTAGTTTTTATTTTACCTTTCTGATTAGTTTATTGTTGTGAATCCAAGAGTAGCGTTGTTTAGTGATCAACCTTTAAAAAAGGTTAAATATTTATCAAAAAGAATTTTTACCATGTTAATAATTATTTATTTTGCGGATTGAGGTTGGTGAACACGAAGGGTCCATCTAGGGGAGCTGGAAAACCCTGATTCAAAACCAATGGTGCACATCGGCTCCAGTGTCCTGAAGGAACAAATGATGTATGAACCAATCGTTAGTCACCAGCTACCATGGGACTGCATCTCCTTACGATGCTCCACTGCCTTGTGGATCAGACTTTCAGGTCGAAGGCTCCGGGTGTAATCCACCTAGAAAACCACTTGCTTCGGTCTGAGCACCCGGGCAGTATCCCATCCCTTACGCAAATTGAATGATTTATGTGGTGCATATCTATTTGGTGCCTCCTTGTACCAATGTTTATATGTTTAAATAAATA